GCGTGCAAGCATGAGCGTGCAAGCATGAGCGTGCAAGCATGAGCGTGCAAGCATGAGCGTGCAAGCATGAGCGTGCAAGCATGAGCGTGCAAGCATGAGCGTGCAAGCATGAGCGTGCAAGCATGACCGTGCAAGCATGACCGTGCAAGCATGACCGTGCAAGCATGACCGTGCAAGCATGAGCGTGCAAGCATGAGCGTGCAAGCATGACCGTGCATGCATGACCGTGCATGCATGAGCGTGCATGCATGAGCGTGCATGCATGAGCGTGCATGCATGAGCGTGCATGCATGAGCGTGCATGCATGAGCGTGCATGCATGACCGTGCAAGCATGAGCGTGCATGCATGAGCGTGCATGCATGAGCGTGCATGCATGAGCGTGCATGCATGAGCGTGCATGCATGAGCGTGCATGCATGAGCGTGCATGCATGAGCGTGCATGCATGAGCGTGCATGCATGACCGTGCATGCATGACCGTGCATGCATGACCGTGCATGCATGACCGTGCATGCATGACCGTGCATGCATGACCGTGCAAGCATGAGCGTGCATGCATGAGCGTGCATGCATGACCGTGCATGCATGAGCGTGCATGCATGACCGTGCATGCATGACCGTGCATGCATGACCGTGCATGCATGAGCGTGCATGCATGAGCGTGCAAGCATGAGCGTGCATGCATGACCGTGCATGCATGACCGTCCAAGCATGACCGTGCAAGCATGACCGTGCATGCATGAGCGTGCATGCATGAGCGTGCATGCATGAGCGTGCATGCATGAGCGTGCATGCATGAGCGTGCATGCATGAGCGTGCATGCATGAGCGTGCATGCATGAGCGTGCATGCATGAGCGTGCATGCATGAGCGTGCATGCATGAGCGTGCATGCATGAGCGTGCATGCATGAGCGTGCATGCATGAGCGTGCATGCATGAGCGTGCATGCATGACCGTGCATGCATGACCGTGCATGCATGACCGTGCAAGCATGACCGTGCAAGCATGACCGTGCAAGCATGACCGTGCATGCATGAGCGTGCATGCATGACCGTGCATGCATGACCGTGCATGCATGACCGTGCATGCATGACCGTGCATGCATGAGCGTGCATGCATGAGCGTGCATGCATGAGCGTGCATGCATGACCGTGCATGCATGAGCGTGCATGCATGACCGTGCATGCATGACCGTGCATGCATGACCGTGCATGCATGACCGTGCATGCATGACCGTGCATGCATGACCGTGCATGCATGAGCGTGCATGCATGAGCGTGCATGCATGAGCGTGCATGCATGAGCGTGCATGCATGAGCGTGCATGCATGAGCGTGCAAGCATGAGCGTGCAAGCATGAGCGTGCAAGCATGAGCGTGCAAGCATGAGCGTGCAAGCATGAGCGTGCAAGCATGAGCGTGCAAGCATGAGCGTGCAAGCATGAGCGTGCATGAGCGTGCAAGCATGAGCGTGCAAGCATGAGCGTGCAAGCATGAGCGTGCAAGCATGAGCGTGCAAGCATGAGCGTGCAAGCATGAGCGTGCAAGCATGAGCGTGCAAGCATGAGCGTGCAAGCATGACCGTGCAAGCATGACCGTGCAAGCATGACCGTGCAAGCATGACCGTGCATGCATGACCGTGCATGCATGACCGTGCATGCATGACCGTGCATGCATGACCGTGCATGCATGACCGTGCATGCATGACCGTGCATGCATGAGCGTGCATGCATGAGCGTGCATGCATGAGCGTGCATGCATGAGCGTGCATGCATGAGCGTGCATGCATGAGCGTGCATGCATGAGCGTGCATGCATGACCGTGCATGCATGACCGTGCATGCATGAGCGTGCATGCATGAGCGTGCATGCATGACCGTGCATGCATGACTGTCCAAGCATGAGCGTGCAAGCATGACCGTGCAAGCATGACCGTGCATGCATGACCGTGCATGCATGCATGAGCGTGCATGCATGAGCGTGCATGCATGAGCGTGCATGCATGAGCGTGCATGCATGAGCGTGCATGCATGAGCGTGCATGCATGAGCGTGCATGCATGAGCGTGCATGCATGAGCGTGCATGCATGAGCGTGCATGCATGAGCGTGCATGCATGAGCGTGCATGCATGAGCGTGCATGCATGAGCGTGCATGCATGAGCGTGCAAGCATGAGCGTGCAAGCATGACCGTGCAAGCATGACCGTGCAAGCATGACCGTGCAAGCATGACCGTGCAAGCATGACCGTGCAAGCATGACCGTGCAAGCATGACCGTGCATGCATGACCGTGCATGCATGACCGTGCATGCATGACCGTGCAAGCATGACCGTGCAAGCATGACCGTGCATGCATGACCGTGCATGCATGACCGTGCATGCATGAGCGTGCATGCATGAGCGTGCATGCATGAGCGTGCATGCATGAGCGTGCATGCATGAGCGTGCATGCATGAGCGTGCAAGCATGAGCGTGCAAGCATGAGCGTGCAAGCATGAGCGTGCAAGCATGAGCGTGCAAGCATGAGCGTGCAAGCATGAGCGTGCAAGCATGAGCGTGCAAGCATGAGCGTGCAAGCATGAGCGTGCAAGCATGACCGTGCAAGCATGACCGTGCAAGCATGACCGTGCAAGCATGACCGTGCAAGCATGACCGTGCAAGCATGACCGTGCATGCATGACCGTGCAAGCATGACCGTGCATGCATGACCGTGCATGCATGACCGTGCATGCATGAGCGTGCATGCATGAGCGTGCATGCATGAGCGTGCATGCATGAGCGTGCATGCATGAGCGTGCATGCATGAGCGTGCATGCATGAGCGTGCATGCATGAGCGTGCATGCATTAGCGTGCATGCATGAGCGTGCATGCATGAGCGTGCATGCATGACCGTGCAAGCATGAGCGTGCATGCATGAGCGTGCATGCATGAGCGTGCATGCATGAGCGTGCATGCATGACCGTGCATGCATGAGCGTGCATGCATGACCGTGCATGCATGAGCGTGCATGCATGAGCGTGCATGCATGACCGTGCATGCATGACCGTGCATGCATGACCGTGCATGCATGAGCGTGCATGCATGACCGTGCAAGCATGAGCGTGCATGCATGAGCGTGCATGCATGACCGTGCAAGCATGAGCGTGCATGCATGAGCGTGCATGCATGACCGTGCAAGCATGACCGTGCATGCATGAGCGTGCATGCATGAGCGTGCATGCATGACCGTGCAAGCATGAGCGTGCATGCATGAGCGTGCATGCATGACCGTCCAAGCATGACCGTGCATGCATGAGCGTGCATGCATGACCGTGCAAGCATGACCGTGCATGCATGACCGTGCAAGCATGAGCGTGCATGCATTAGCGTGCATGCATGAGCGTGCATGCATGAGCGTGCATGCATTAGTGTGCATGCATGAGCGTGCATGCATGAGCGTGCATGCATTAGCGTGCATGCATTAGCGTGCATGCATGAGCGTGCATGCATGAGCGTGCATGCATGAGCGTGCATGCATGAGCGAGCATGCATGAGCGTGCATGCATGACCGTGCAAGCATGACCGTGCAAGCATGACCGTGCAAGCATGACCGTGCAAGCATGACCGTGCAAGCATGACCGTGCAAGCATGACCGTGCATGCATGACCGTGCATGCATGACCGTGCATGCATGACCGTGCAAGCATGACCGTGCATGCATGACCGTGCATGCATGAGCGTGCATGCATGACCGTGCATGCATGACCGTGCATGCATGAGCGTGCATGCATGAGCGTGCATGCATGAGCGTGCATGCATGAGCGTGCATGCATGACCGTGCAAGCATGAGCGTGCATGCATGAGCGTGCATGCATGAGCGTGCATGCATGAGCGTGCATGCATGAGCGTGCATGCATGAGCGTGCATGCATGACCGTGCATGCATGAGCGTGCATGCATGACCGTGCATGCATGAGCGTGCATGCATGAGCGTGCATGCATGACCGTGCATGCATGACCGTGCATGCATGACCGTGCATGCATGAGCGTGCATGCATGACCGTGCAAGCATGAGCGTGCATGCATGAGCGTGCATGCATGACCGTGCAAGCATGAGCGTGCATGCATGAGCGTGCATGCATGACCGTGCAAGCATGACCGTGCATGCATGAGCGTGCATGCATGAGCGTGCATGCATGACCGTGCAAGCATGAGCGTGCATGCATGAGCGTGCATGCATGACCGTCCAAGCATGACCGTGCATGCATGAGCGTGCATGCATGACCGTGCAAGCATGACCGTGCATGCATGACCGTGCAAGCATGAGCGTGCATGCATTAGCGTGCATGCATGAGCGTGCATGCATGAGCGTGCATGCATTAGTGTGCATGCATGTGCGTGCATGCATGAGCGTGCATGCATGAGCGTGCATGCATTAGTGTGCATGCATTAGCGTGCATGCATGAGCGTGCATGCATGAGCGTGCATGCATGAGCGTGCATGCATGAGCGTGCATGCATGAGGGTGCATGCATGAGCGTGCATGCATGAGCGTGCATGCCTTAGTGTACATGCATTAGCGTGCATGCATGAGCGTGCATGCATGAGCGTGCATACATGAGCGTGCATGCATGAGCGTGCATGCATGAGCGTGCATGCATTAGCGTGCATGCATGAGCGTGCATGCATGAGCGTGCATGCATGAGCGTGCATGCATGAGCGTGCGTGCATGAGCGTGCATGCATGAGCGTGCATGCATGAGCGTGCATGCATGAGCGTGCATGCATGAGCGTGCATGCATTAGCGTGCATGCATGAGCGTGCATGCATGAGCGTGCATGCATGAGCGTGCATGCATGAGCGTGCATGCATGAGCGTGCATGCATGAGCGTGCATGCATGAGCGTGCATGCATGAGCGTGCATGCATTAGTGTGCATGCATTAGCGTGCATGCATGAGCGTGCATGCATTGCTGACCATTGCTGTGCAAGCATGACCTGACCTGAGCACTCGCAGCATAGACTAGGCACTCACAGCACCGCCAGGTTGTTCCACGCCTCCCCGTTGTCGGGGTCGATCTGCACTGAACGTGTGAGCGCATACAGCGCCTTGTCCCCATCACACGCCTGCAACCAGCACATGAATGGGAGTCGGGAGACATGTGGCAAGCAGGCAGGGGTCAAACGGATGAACGCAGGTGGGCTGAACAAACATGTGTGTGGGATCCGCACTGCAGCCCACCTGTTGGCCTATCACGACTTAGAGACTGAAGTTATGACATAACCTGTTAGTACAGTCGATACGTCTCTCACCCACTGCTACTAAGTGAACGCACTCCATAGCTAGGTTGTAATCCAGAAAGAGCCAACCAAGAGATGACTTTTGAGTCGACTCAAAATTCGTCTCAACGCACTCCATAGCTAGGTTGTAATCCAGAAAGAGCCAACCAAGAGATGACTTTTGAGTCGACTCAAAAGTCGTCTCAACGCACTCCATAGCTAGGTTGTAATTTAGAAAGAGCCAACCAAGAGATGACTTTTGAGTCGACTCAAAAGTCGTCTCAACGCAGTCCATAGCTAGGTTGTAATCCAGAAAGAGCCAACCAAGACAATTTTTGAGGTGCCTCAAAACTCGCCTTGATTCTTTAGGCGCCTCAAAAATCTCAATATCTAAGTCATACTCCAGAAAGAACCAACCAGAGGGACGCAAAGGCCTGACAACCAGAGCAGTTCCCATTTTGCCAGCACCGGCCATACCTGTACAGCTTGCTCTCCCTCTTTCTGCATCGCGCTGCACCGCACTACGCCTACCTGAATAGCAGAGTAGCCCAAGGAGAACCAGGCAGATGCATGCAGCGGGCTGATTGCCAGCGCAGCCTCCCAGTGAGCCATGGCTGCCTTGAAATCCTTGCTGTTCATTGCCATGCGTGCTAGTGCTCTCTGTGGTAAGAGAAGTGAAGAGGGATGGAGAGAGGTAACAAGGGATGGAGAGGGTTGAAGCGCAGCCTCTCTTATGCAGCCTCCCAGTGAGCCATGGCTGCTTTGAAGTCCCTGTTGTTCATTGCCATGTGCGCTAGTGCTCGCTGTGATGGGGAGCGGGAGCAGAGTAGAGGGAAAGGGGGAATGAGGCCACGTCTCACTAAGAGAACTCTCCAACTCCCACACCTTCCCACGTCTTTCCCGGTTCACATGCAAAGCAGCCATTCCTGGTTTTGTTTTGAGAATAGTGAGTTGTGAGTCGACTCAAAACGCAGCCATTACTGGTTTTGTTTTGAGAATAATAAAAAAAAAACCCTGGAACGCCTTCCGAGCCTTCTTTCTCATCGCACTCCTCCTCAGCCAAATCTCAGAATCACGTTTGAGGATTCTCAAAAGCCCACCCCTCCGGCCACTGTACTGTCACCATACCACCATTACGTCCGTTTATAACACCTTACGTACTATGCCGCACCGCACTGTACTGCAATGCACCACACTCCACCACCGCTCTCCATACCTGTGCGCGTGCATATCTGTGTCGGGAAAACTCCCAGGCCTTCTCATAGCACTCTTTCTTCTCCGTCAGATCCCCCAGGCAGCACCACAGGCGTGGATCCTCCTTCTGCTCCTTCAACCTCGCCGTCACCAGCGCTGCTGCTGCTGCCCGTTTTCCCAAAAGGCTGAGATGGGGGAGGAGGGGGGGAGTGGAGGAGGGGGGGAAGGGGAGGATGGGGGGAAAGAAGGACAGATCCCAGGCAGCACCACAGGCGCGGATCCTCCTTCTGCTCCTTCAACCTCGCCGTCACCAGCGCTGCTGCTGCTGCTCTTTTGCCCAGCAGGCTGGGATGGGATAATGGGAGGAGTGGAGGGGGATGGGATGGGGTTGAAAAACTATGTTTCAGCCTTGCCGTCACCAGCGCCACTGCTGCTGCCCTCTTCCCCATAAGACTGAAATGGGGGCGGGAAGAAGGGGGTGCTTGTGCGTTGAAGAAGGGGGTGCTTGTGCGTTGAGTCGCCTCTACTACTACAACAGATGGCCACAGAGGCTCACTCTTTCCTCTCGAACAGGCTTTTGAGAATTCTCAAAAGCCAGAAGGGGGTGCTTGTGCGTTGAGTCGCCTCTACTACTACAACAGATGGCCACAGAGGCTCACTCTTTCCTCTCGAACAGGCTTTTGAGAATTCTCAAAAGCCAGAAGGGGGTGCTTGTGCGTTGAGTCGACTCTATTACAACAGATGGCCACAGAGGCTCGCTCTTTCCTCTCGAACAGGTGTATGCTGAGTTAACTCAAGACACACTTGAAGAGTGTACTGTACTGTGTACCTTGCAGTCTAGCTGTGTGAATGTGAATCAAGTGCACCTGTAGCTCAACTCAAAACCATGTCTAGTGCACCGTTGCTAACAGTGTTCACCTGTAGCTGTGCTCATCTCTATTAGAACAGATGGTCCCACAGCTCGATCATTACAGACGGCCACACCTGCATACCAAGTGCACCCTTTTCATTCTTTCCGAGTTGACTCACAACACACGTGTGAAGTGAAGTGCACCTACCCTCCTTCGCAGCTGACCTGTAGCAGTCGATCAGATGGTCCCACAGCTCGTTCGCCTCAAAAACCGTACTGTACCTGCATGCAAGTGCACCCTTGCACTGCACCATTGCACTGCACCCTTGCACTGCACCCTTGCAGTGCACCCTCCCTTGCTCGCAGTGCTCACCTGTAGCAGTCGATGAGATGGTCCCACAGCTCATTCGTCTCAAACACGCGCATGGCCTCGCCCACACATCCGCTCGCCACCAGCACCTCCCCATACTCCCTGCCGTGATGTGATGTGTGTGTGGGGAATATGAGCAGGGTAGAAGAGGGAACAGGTGTTGGGGAGAGCAACACACGCGCATGGCCTCGCCCACACACCCGCTCGCCACCAGCACCTCCCCATACTCCCTGCCGTGATGTGTAAGTGGGGGCGGGAGGGGGTGGGGTGGGGATTGGGAGGGGTAAGAAATTGGAGGGGTTGGGGAGAGAGTCGACTCAAAGGTATAACATAGCTCACTTGAAGAGAGCAGGCTGTGACTCACTTGAAGAGAGCAGGCGTGGTGGGGAACCAAACAGCGAAGCAGTATTTCATCCTCTCTGCTGCTTCTCTCGCTTCCTCCTCCGGCAACGCAGCCGCCACAGCTCCTCCCGATGATCCCGAGGCTGCTTGCGATTGCTGCTGGCGGATTCTCTTCTCCTGATGTGAGACTGACTGGATCTGAAGTGGGAGCACACCACCGCACCGCACCGCACAGCACAGCACAGCACAGCACAGCACCGCACCGCACAGCACAGCACAGACGGATCACAGTAATCTGCTTGTAGACAACAAACGTGTGGAGAAGTGACTTGCCACCCGTGTTCCCTTTGCTAGGCGGCGTGAAATTCACGAGATTTCAAGGACAACGAAGCACAGCACCAAGAAGCAAGGTGAAACACAGGAATATGCTTCACAAGCCGCAGGTAGCAGAAGCCTGATAATCCATTCCTTCCTATTCACTCCCAGCCAGATCACCAATCGCTCCATTCCTCCTCACTCACCAATCGCTCCATTCCTCCTCACTCACCAATCGCTCCATTCCTCCTCACTCACCAATCGCTCCATTCCTTCCTCACTCACCAATCGCTCCATTCCTCCTCACTCACCAATCGCTCCATTCCTCCTCACTCACCAATCGCTCCATTCCTCCTCACTCACCAATCGCTCCATTCCTCCTCACTCACCAATCGCTCCATTCCTCCTCACTCACCAATCGCTCCATTCCTCCTCACTCACCAATCGCTCCATTCCTCCTCACTCACCAATCGCTCCATTCTCCTCACTCACCAATCGCTCCATTCCTCCTCACTCACCAATCGCTCCATTCCTCCTCACTCACCAATCACTCCATTCCTCCTCACTCACCAATCGCTCCATTCCTCCTCACTCACCAATCGCTCCATTCCTCCTCACTCACCAATCGCTCCATTCCTCCTCACTCACCAATCGCTCCATTCCTCCTCACTCACCCAATCGCTCCATTCCTCCTCACTCACCAATCGCTCCATTCTCCTCACTCACCAATCGCTCCATTCCTCCTCACTCACCAATCGCTCCATTCCTCCTCACTCACCAATCGCTCCATTCCTCCTCACTCACCAATCGCTCCATTCCTCCTCACTCACCAATCGCTCCATTCCTCCTCACTCACCAATCGCTCCATTCCTCCTCACTCACCAATCGCTCCATTCCTCCTCACTCACCAATCGACCATTCCTCACTCACAATTCGCTCCATTCCTCCTCACTCACCAATCGCTCCATTCCTCCTCACTCACCAATCGCTCCATTCCTCCTCACTCACCAATCGCTCCATTCCTCCACTCACCAATCGCTCCCTGCCTCCTCACTCACCAATCGCTCCATTCCTCCTCACTCCCCAATCGCTCCATTCCTCCTCACTCACCAATCGCTCCATTCCTCCTCACTCACCAATCGCTCCATTCCTCCTCACTCACCAATCGCTCCATTCCTCCTCACTCACCAATCGCTCCATTCCTCCTCACTCCCCAATCGCTCCATTCCTCCTCACTCACCAATCGCTCCATTCCTCCTCACTCACCAATCGCTCCATTCCTCCTCACTCACCAATCGCTCCATTCCTCCTCACTCACCAATCGCTCCATTCCTCCTCACTCACCAATCACTCCATTCTTCCTCACTCACCAATCGCTCCATTCCTCCTCACTCACCAATCACTCCATTCCTCCTCACTCACCAATCACTCCATTCCTCCTCACTCACCAATCGCTCCATTCCTCCTCACTCACCAATCGCTCCATTCCTCCTCACTCACCAATCACTCCATTCCTCCTCACTCACCAATCGCTCCATTCCTCCTCACTCACCAATCGCTCCATTCCTCCTCACTCACCAATCGCTCCATTCCTCCTCACTCACCAATCACTCCATTCCTCCTCACTCACCAATCGCTCCATTCCTCCTCACTCACCAATCGCTCCATTCCTCCTCACTCACCAATCACTCCATTCCTCCTCACTCACCAATCACTCCATTCCTCCTCACTCACCAATCACTCCATTCCTCCTCACTCATCCAATCGCTCCATTCCTCCTCACTCACCAATCGCTCCATTCCTCCTCACTCACCAATCAATCCATTCCTCCTCACTCACCAATCACTCCATTCCTCCTCACTGACCAATCACTCCATTCCACCTCACTCACCAATCGCTCCATTCCTCCTCACTCACCAATCGCTCCATCTGCCCTCTGCCGTGTGTGCGAGTGCGAGCGGTCACGAGATGCCACCGAGACGTCTCAAGCTGTAACTGTAATGGCTGTAGTCCTCACCCACACACAACTGCCCTCTGCACGTGTGCAAACGGGAGATGCAATGTCTGAAGCGGCAGTACTTGTCCTGTCAGGCATTTCATCCACTCCCCATTGCCACACTTACCAGTCGTTCATTGTCGCAACTGCCCTCTGCTGTGTGTGCGGTCTGCCACCTGCAGATGCCACGTCTGAAGCTGTAAGATAAATCCCGTCAGCCATTGCATCAACGCACTCCCATGCCACACTTACCAGTCGTTCCATTGTCGCCACTGCCCTCTGCCGTGTATGCGGTCGCTTGCGCTCCCACCGCACTCTCAGCAGCTCACACCCCGCTTTCACCTGTGGAAGTTGAGCACAGCATGGGTGGGATGCGTTGCTAGATAGAAAGTTTCTCTACGAAGATGCTTTTGATGCGCCAAAAAACACAGACGTTTTTATCACAATGGTGCAGCGTGGCAAGTTTTTTTTTTTACTTATGAGGCGAGCTTTGAGTCGACTCAAACCTAGCCTAAAAAATGGTGCAGCGTGGCAAAGCAGCAGCTGCAGCAGCATACCATGGGTGGGACGTGTTGTTGCAGAGTGATTGCTTCGATATAAGGTGCTGCCTCCCAGCCTGTAACACAGTTGTCACAGATTGAAAATATGAAACATTAAAAGTAAAAGGTTAATGTTACCAAAGAATGAAGGAACGAAAGGACAGACAAACGGAAGAAACAACGACACTTTATTTTTGTGTGGCGTGGCGTCTCCAGCCAAAGCCCTCTGCGTCTCACACACATCTTGTCTACGTTTCTAAGCAGTCTCATAAGATATCCGACTCACCTCTCAGCTCATCAGCAGCGTTTTGCTTCACAGTATCAACAGCCATAGCCAGCACTGCTGCCTGCTCAACACCCCTCAATACCCCTCCCTTCCCCCAAACCCCCCGTTCCCAACCCCACCCTTCTTCTCCAACGCCTGAAAGGCCATCCCACTCACCTCTCAGCTCATCAGCAGCGTTTTGCTTCACAGTATCAACAGCCATAGCCAGCACTGCTGCCTGCTCAACACCCCTCAATACCCCTCCCTTCCCCCCAAACCCCGCCGTTCCCAACCCCACCCTTCTTCTCCAACGCCTGAAAGGCCATCCCACTCACCTCTCAGCTCATCAGCAGCGTTTTGCTTCACAGTATCAACAGCCATCGCCAGCACTGCCGCCTGCTCAACACCCCTCAGCACACCACGCGTGCCACCATTGACAGCACTCTGCTTCTCTTCCTTTTCACCCCCATTTGCCACGATCTCACCCCCACCACCCCCTCCTTCCACAAGCCGGGGTGCCAGAAGCACGTCACTCTCCGGCTCGAACAAACACTCCAACTCCTCCATACTCTCCCCTTCCTCCTCCGCCTTCGCTTCCCCCCCCTCCCCCTTCTCTCCATCCTCCCCTTGCTGCCCTTGCCCGTCCCCACAAGTCCCATCCCTGGCTGATGCCCTGTCGCTCAGCAACGCCCCACCTCCTTCCTTTGGAGATTCGCTTCTTGTCACGGCCAGCACGAGCTGGGCTTTGGGATCGACCTGTGTGCATCCCGTGGGAAGAAGAGTTGGGAAGAAAATTGGGAAGAGCATATGTGAATGCAGGGGGGGGGGGATGAAGGCCTGTAGCATAGCACCACCCCATTTCCTCTCTTCAGGGAATCGCTTCTTGTCGCTGCCAGCATGAGCTGGGCTTTGGGGTCGACCTGTGTGCATCCCGTGGGAAGAAGAATGGGAAGGAGAGGCGAAAAAAAGAGATTGAATGAACATATGCGAATGCAGGGGGCGAACCAAACCATGCCCCATGTCCTGTCCAACTGCGCTTTCTCACCATATGCATGCCATTTCATACAAGGCCATGGTCATCTCATGCCATGCCATGCCATGCCATGCCATGCCATCCCATGTGTGTGACCCACACCCCACCCTGCTCGAACCCTGTCCGTGCATGTGCGCCCACTCCCCTCCTTAAAGCCCTTCCTTTAGTGAGAATACCTACTCACCCCTATCCCCGTTCACCTGATGTATGGTGCGGTAACCCATGGCTCCGGTTACACTCAGCACCACTCCGCACTCCTGCAGAGCTCTCTCAAACCAATTCCTGCCCGCCAAAGCGGGTGTTTGTGGGTGTGGATGATGCGGGGGTCGAGAAGGGGGGAGGTGGAATGGAACGCGGGGTGAGAAAAGGCAAGATAGTGTGGGGTGGAGGTGCGCAAGCAACAGAATAGCACATCTGCCTGGGTAACATGGTCCACGTGTCAGGCACACACCTGGCAGTGTCCACGTGGCAGGCACACACCTGGCAGTGTTCACGTGGCAGGCACACACCTGGCAGTGTCCACGTGTCAGGCACACACACCTGGCAGTGTCCACGTGTGCATAGACCATCTCCATCATCCCAGCCTCCAGATGCACTAGTGCTGCCACCCGCACACACACTTCCTCCTCCCCTTCCCCCTCCTTTCCCCTCTCCTTCTCCCCACCCTCCGCCTCCACCTCCTTCTCCTCTTTTCTAAAGTAAGCCCATTTCACGGCATCTTTCCTCCCCAGCGTCTCTCCCAGGTGAACAGTGCACGGGAGCAGCAGGGCGCGGAGGGAGGGAGACCGCTCCTGTAGCACCCTCTGGTGAATAACGACAACCCTCGCCGCCCACCAGGGCCAGGAGGGCGGCAGCAGGGAGGGGGAGAAGGCTTCAGAAGGTTTGATAGAGGGAGAGGAGGAGGAGGAGGAGGAGGAGGAGGAAAGGGAGGGGGAGGTGGAGAAAGGGGAGGGGAAGAGGAGTGGGAAGAGAGGGGGGAGGAGGAGGGATCGGGCGAGCAGGAGGTACTGGGGGAGGTGGCATCTGCCAGTGACGTCAGCACCATCTGTCATGAGCTCCACCTGGCACCACTTGCTCAGTGCCACGCGTGCCGCCTCGCTGGCGAGGAACGCGGGGTGGCTGGCAGGTGCTGACGTGGTTGCTGATGTGTCGTGTGCGGCTGCTGATGTGTCGCTGTTGGTATGTGGTGGGCTGAGTGGGAGGGTCGGGACTGCAGAAGGCTCGGGACTGGTGGTGGTGGGGCGAGAGAAAAGAGGGAGTGGAGAGTGAGAGTGGAGGGAGTGTGGAACGAAGGGCATGGGAGGCAAGGGAGAGGGAATGTGGGAGTTCGAGCAGGTGATAAAAAGGGAGTCACACGGGGGACGTGGGGGCAAAAAAAGGGACAGAATTTAGTGAAACAGTGTTGTTTAAATATTGAATGAGAAACTTGAT